TTCAAAAGATCTATCTTAGATTTTCGCTTTTAAAAATCCAGATAACACCCCAGAGCCTTGCTGCTGGCCAGAATGGGAAATGCTGGACTAAGTGATCATATTGATGCTTTTGAATCATGGCACTGGAGGAGACTCTTGAGAGTCCCATGGACTGCAAGAAGATCAAACCTCTCCATTCTTAAGGAAATTAGCCCTGAGTGCTCACTGGAAGGACAGATCCTGAAGCTGAGACTCCAATACTTTGGCCACCTCATGAGAAGAGAAGACTCCCTGGAAAAGACCCTGATGTTGGGAAAGATGGAGGGCACAAGGAGAAGGGGACGACAGAGGACAAGATGGTTGGACAGTGTTCTCAAAGCTACAAACATGAGTTTGACCAAACTGCGGGAGGCAGTGGAAGACAGGAGTGCCTGGCGTGCTCTGGTCCATGGGGTCACGAAGTCGGACACGACTAAACAACAACAACAACAAGTTCTAAATGCAAGTTCAGGATTAGGTACACTGCCATTGACATCCCCGCTCCACAGAGTGCTGTTTTGTTCCAAGTAAATGTGTTTAGGATTAGGATTATCCTTCACCCAACCTGCAAACAAAACAAAGCCCTGCTATGATGCCCCAACCAACGCAAAAGAGTGGAGCATGTCAATGAGACACAATCTATTTTCAATCGTGATCAGGGTTTATAGGACAAGACTCTCCCTCTACCTCACAGGCAAGCCAAGTCGAGGGATGATTCAAATACCTATGGAAAGTTCAGCAATCACTTTTTTTAGACTGAGAGGATCTGACTCCCAAGCAGAGATTGGCAGTACACTTTTGGGCTGGCGCACACATGTGCACATATTCTGTCCTGCGCCACCGAAACATAGGAGTGGCAGGCCTGTAAAGATGCCACCCAGCACCCACTTACATGCCCTTGCTAGCAATAGGAGCCATTTGTGCACATGGTGCACCATTCAGGTTTAGTCATGTACTGCCAGCCACATGACTTGGGAGCAGGCGTTGGTCACACCCACACCAGACATTTAAGCACTCTTATACCCAGGGCAAACATGTAGTGAAGAATCCTGTATAAAGTATCCGTCTGTCATGGATCGGCCCAGTATACCTGAAGGAGCATCTCCACCCCCATCGTTGAGCCTGGACACTGAGGTCCAGCACCGAGGGCCTTCTGGCGGTTCCCTCCCTGCGAGAAGCGAGGTTACAGGGATTCCTGCAGGGGGTTGGACTAAATCACCCTTGGGCATCCCTTCCAACTGTATGATTCTTTGTTTCGTAACATGCAACTGCACCTAAGGTCTTGGGAAAACCAACTCAATTTCTCCCTGTGAAAATCCAGACACAAAAATGTTTTTCAGCTTTTTGTTTGGCAAAATTGTTACTTTTGAGGGGGGAAGTTCTTGAGCTTTTGCACAGTCCCCCCCCCATGAAGGTCCCCCCCCCAGAAAATCGCCCCCCAAAAGCACCATTTCCAATATGGGCTGCCATACACCCGGGTTTCCCCTGTCGTTTTTGCCGCTTTCCAAAAATTCCGCCCAGACGCCATTTTCGAAGGACGAATCCCGGCTATGTCCGTGAAATTCTGGACCTAGGGCAGCCCTGTTTAAAACCAAGCCGATAGGTGTTTCAGTGCATGGGGATGAGGAAACTGTATTCTGCTAGCATAAAGGCTGAGATGAAACTGACCAGCCTTAAGGCAAAATGTGAGACACAGCCTGTCGGTCTCAGTTCACTAGCTAGTACAGTGGTACCTCAGGTTAAGAACTTAATTCGTTCTGGAGGTCCGTTCTTAACCTGAAACTGTTCTTAACCTGAGGTACCACTTTAGCTAATGGGACCTCCCACTGCTGCCAGGATGCCGCTGCGCAAATTCTTTTCTCATCCTGAAGCAAGTTCTTAACCGGAGGTACTATTTCTGGGTTAGCGGAGTCTGTAAGCTGAAGCGTCTGTAAGCTGAAGCGTCTGTAACCTGAGGTACCACTGTACAGAAAATCCCCAAAGACAAAAGGTTTAAATTGTCTGAGGAGGCTGGAGACAAAGCAGAGCTTCCAGACAACCCATTTATCAAGCTTTCGTTCAGATTTGTTTACTAGATGTAGGTGGTGTTGTGTCAAATCAGGGTTTTCCAAAATTTGGACTACAACTCCCATCATCCCTAGCTAGAAGGACCAGTGGTCAGGGATGATGGGAACTGTAGTCCAAAAACAGCTGGAGTCCCAAGTTTGGGAAACCCGGTGTGAAAGGAAGGCTTATCTCATGCTATGAATGCAGTAGACATTACTGTCATCTCTAGGTGGTGCTGAGAAAATCTCCTGTCTGAAATCCCAAAGATCCACTGCAAGGCAGCACAGAACAGAGATGGGAAACCACCGGTCCTCTAGATGCGCTGAGGCTACAGATCCCAGTGTCTCTGAACATTGGCTCTGCTGGCTGGGGCTTTGGGCCCCTGGTGGGCCCTGGTGTATACAGAACTTTGCTAGATGAACCAATGGTCTGACTTGGTATAAAACAGCTTCCTGTGTTCCTAGATGTAGACCTAGTCAGTTTGGATGGGACCCATATGAAAAACCCCAAGCAGAACCAGCATTGAGTACATAGGAGTAAGCACTTTCAAATTTCACCCATTTTATAAGAGGTAATCAACTAGGAATAAATGGAGCACTGATTTATGCATCGGGACTGATTCAGGAGAGGTAATATAGAACAGGCGCAAAGGGAGTTAGGACGATAAATATTGCTTTGACATATGCAAGATTGTCACCGACTGCATTTTGAGGCATGTCTACTCAGATTGTAAGCGCTGTTTAGTTCCACGAGTCTTATTTCCAGGTGAGTGGGAATACAATTGCAGCCAACAGCTGCAACCTTAAGCATATTTACTTGGAAGTAAAGCCCCACTAATGAAGTAAGAAATTTGTATTCTGAGAGATTTCAGGCTGAAAAGCACAGTTTTCCTATGTCTTTCTGCCAGGACACTCCACGTGGGTTCTCTAATCTATTCAATGTCCTTCTTACGACCACTTTATTTTCTTCATCCAAGGCCAGAGGCAGATAATAGCTGGCTTTTCAGAAGGCTGCGGTGGTCCATAAGGCATTCATCTTGTCCCACTGTCATCTCCCGTCAGGAAAGTTTTGCAGATATCTAAATCACTGCAGAGTTTTACGGACAGAGATCCTAGCAGGATGAATGTGACCACAAAAATCGATCTAACCTTATGATATTCTGGAGAGGGTGAGGAGTGGGTTCTATCCTCAGCCTCCTTTCAGATTTTCCCTAATATCATCTAACCTGTCCCTCCATCACCTGAAAAATTCCCTCTAACCAATCTTCAGTATACATTCTCAAATGCCTCCTTATACTCCGCAAGAACTGTATGAACTAGACTGCAATTCCCTTGGGCATTTATGTCTCCTATAGTGTGCCCTACACATTCCTGGGGCTACAGAACATTAAATCATCATCAAGAAAATCTGTGGTCACCCCAGAAACTGTTTTCAGGCTAGGATGTAGCCCTGGGGGTATTTGAAGCACTGAGAAAGTCACTGAGCACATGCAGAGTAAATCTCTCTCCATGAATAACTACAACACTCTGCGCCTTTGAAAGAATGTGAATTGCCACTTGTGTCCTTGCTCCTCTTTAAAAATACAAAGATCCAGTAAACAATAAACAACAACAACAACAACAAGAAGAAGACCCTTGCTGGGTGCAACTGTTGCCGGCAGTTTTAATGGGATCTCAGGCAACTTACTCAGAAGTAAGCCTTACCCATGAAACTTACTCCTGACACAGTCTGTATGGGCTTGCAGCCTTAATGCTATAATTAGAGCAGTAGTATTTGTATGGGGAAGGGAGAAGGAGGTTAAATTGCTTTTCCGCTTACCCACTTAAAAACACACACCAATAAATAAAATAGAGACCTGCTGCTTTTTGAGAAAATTGTAAGGTACAGGAGAGTTTCCATGCCATCTCCCTTGCTCCTTCCTTGGCAACCACAATCCCCTCCCCCCAAAAAACACACACACACTTTTTGATCATTTGATGTCAGGTGATTTGAGCCACATGTCTACCGGATCAGATCCTTTTGTTGAGCGTAGCCCTGCATACTTGGTTTGCTGGGAGGTGTCGTTGTACACCACAATACAAGCATTAAAAGTAAAAGTTCATGCCCCCCCATTCCCCCTAATCTCAAAAAAATAAAATAAGACCACTCTGGTCCTGTGTGTGCTGCAGGATGAAAACTGCTAAACTGTTAGGACAGTAACATAGAGAAATGCTAATACATTTGGTCAGTCTCTCCCTCCTAGAGAAGCCAGTTCTGAAAACACAGTCTTAGCTCTCCCAGGCCATTAACTTTTAGGAAATTCTCTTTCGAGGTTCGAATTCAGTTATTACAGTAGCAACCATAAGTTCCAGTCCCACGTGTGTCTACTCAGAAGTAAATCCCATTGTGTTCGATGGCGGCTTACTCTCCAGTAAGTCGCCCTACGTTTGCAATCCTATGCACACTTACCTGGGAGTAAGCCCCGCTGCACACAATGGGACTTACTTCCGAGTAGACTGGCAGACGATTGCACTGTTGGAAGCCCAAAAGGGGGAGAATGTAAGAGGACTAGGAAACCAAGAAATCCTGAAGGAAAGGGGGTGGTCTCTTTTCCCCAAGCCATTAAGAAAAGTGCTCGCTGCCCAATTTATCTCTCATTTGAACACTCCACCACCATCGAAGTTTATCCCAAGCACATCGTTTCATAAGAAAGAAAGAACGTCGTTTTCTCTTGTAGTATCATAGCATGGCATTTTGATATAAAGTCCAGGAAAAGTGAAATTAGGAGTTGGCGGGGGTACTAATAATAATAATAATAATAATAATAATAATAATAATTCCCCGCCCATCTGGCTGGGTTTCCCCATCCACTCTAATACTTCCCCCGCTTTTAAGAAGCAGAAAAGGCGAAATATAAACGCAAACGAGGAGCGGGGAGAGAAGGAAAAGAAATAGACCCACTTTCAAAAGCTCCGATGCGATGAATATTCTCCCATTCAGCAAATGCCTGACAGATCTCCGCCGACGCTTCTGGCGCTCGGCTCCCTCCCTCGAGCGCGACCAACAGCTGGAGCAAATAATAATAATAATAATAATAATAATAAATCTGGAACAAAAATAAGAATAAAAAAGGGGACAAAATCCAGCCAGCCGTGCGCGGAGCTTACCTTCGCTCGCCCGGAATGCCAATGGGCAGACACTTGTCCGGCAGCGCGAGAAGAAGGGGAAGCAAGGGACCGTAAACAAACTGCTGAGCCGGAGTTTAAAAAAAAGAAGTGGGAGAGAGGAAAAGATCAAGGGACCGGAGACAATTTCACAGGATTAAAGGAAAGTTGTGTGGGAGGGAACAGACGCTCATCATGGGTAGCACTGGCCTGATTGGGGGGCTGCGCAAAAGGGGGAGGCGCCACAGAAGGACGTTTTGCAGGAGAAAAGGAAAATAGATCCTTTGTTTTGTTGCCTGACTCTGAGATAGGGAGGAGAGAGAGGGACAGAAAGTTCAGAATGGTTCATTTTAGGGGCCCTGCAGAAATGAAGGCGACTCCCCCAGAGGAGGGTGTTTAACATTTAGTTCCGCTGCGCGTGTGTAACCCGTACATTAGGGTACCCTCCAACATTGCTCTGATGGAAATAGGGACAGCCTATACAGTCATAAGGTAAAGGTAAAGGGACCCCTGACCATTAGGTCCAGTCCTGACCGACTCTGGGGTTGCGGCGCTCATCTCGCTTTATTGGCCAAGGGAGCCGGCGGCGTAAAGCTTCCAGGTCATGTGGTCAGCATGACTAAGCTGCTTCTGGCGAACCAGAGCAGCGCACGGAAACGCCGTTTACCTTCCTGCTGGAGCGGTACCTATTTATCTACTTGCACTTTGATGTGCTTTTGAACTGCTAGGTTGGCAGGAGCAGGGACCGAGCAACAGGAGCTCACCCTGTCATGGGGATTCGAACCGCGGACCTTCTGATCGGCAAGTCCTAGGCTCTGTGGTTTAACCCACAGCGCCACCCACGTCCAGTGGGTCATACAGTCATACCTCGGGATAAATACGCTTCGGGTTGAGCGCTTCCGGGTTTCGCCGCTTGTGCATGCGCAGACAGTCAAACTGACGTCAAGCGCATGCGTGTAAGCGGTGAAATGCGACCGAAGCACACACGCTGTTGCGTCTTGCGTTCCGTTCGGGATGCGAACAGGGCTCCGGAACGGATCCCCGTTCGCATCCCGAGGTACCACTGTATTATTATTGGGGATGCAGGTGGTGCTGTGCATTAAACCACAGAGCCTAGAACTTGCCGATCAGAAGGTCGGCGGTTCGAATCCCCGCGACGGGGTGAGCTCCTGTTGCTAGGTCCCAGCTCCTGCCAACCTAGCAGTTTGAAACGGTGTTTTCGTGCACTGCTCTGGTTCGCCAGAAGCGGCTTAGTCATGCATTCCACATGATCTGGAAGCTGTACGCCGGCTCCCTCGGCCTATAGAGTGAGATGAGCGCCGCAACCCCAGAGTTGGCCACGACTGGACCTAATGGTCAGGGGTCCCTTTACCTATATTATTATTATTCTCCACCATCTGACTTGATTGCTCCAAGCACTCTGAGCAGCTTCCAACATATATAAAAAACGTAATAAAAATATTAACTTAATATTTATACCCTGCCCATCTGGCTGGGTTTTCCCAGCCACTCTGGGCGGCTGCCAATAGAATATTAAAAACAGAATAAAAATCAAAAACTTCCCTAAACAGGGCTGCCTTCACATGTCTTCATAGAGTCAGATAGTTGTTTATTTCATTGACATCAGACAGGAGGGCGTTCCACAGGGCGGGAGCCACTACCAAGAAGGCCCTCTGCCTGGTTCCCTGTCACCTCACTTCTCACGGGGAGGGAACTGCCAGAAGGCCCTCGGAGCTGGACCTCAGTGTCCAGGCTGAATGATGGGGATGGAGATGCTCCTTCAGGTATACTGGGCTAAGGCCATTTAGGGCTTTAAAGGTCAGCTCCAACACTTTGAATTGTGCTCAGAAAGGTACTGGGAGCCAACATCAAACATTTTTTAAAACTTCCATCTACAGGGCTGCCTTCAGATGGCTCTGGGGGTCAGATAACTCCATTCCCTCTGACGCTGGTCGCACAAGCTAACCCTGCGCACTGCCAGGCTCCCCATAACACTTACATGCCCAGCTGATATCAGGGCAGAGTTTTTCCTCAGGTACCAATGTTTGCAGGTCAACCTCTGCCAAGTCTTCTTATTTGGTGATAACTTGTAGCCGAGTAAGATTGTCTTCCATGAACACAGCCTTTAACAGTGAGTCCGTAAATGAATGTGGAGGCCAATTCTGGATCCACACGTCCTTCCACAGTGGGGACATAGGTTTCCAGATAGGAGCTGATCATGGTGAGGGTTTTCCAAACAAGCGTTTCTTCTTTCTCCCTTTTTGGTTTGAGTGTCTTCAAAGTCCATGACACCTTTGGTAAGTGAGGAAGGGTCTTTCCCAGTCAGAGGAGGGGCTATTCTTCCTAATGATCAGTAAGAACCCCATTTATTGTCATTTGAACCCATGAATCAACAGGAAACAACAGCAGCAAGCTCCAAATTTGCTGCAAATCTGTGTGACAGGGCTTCAAATACTTGATGGTTGCTATCATATCTCAGCGGCCTCTTTTCTATAGGCTAAACATTCTCTGCTTTTCAGCCTTTTTTCTCTTTTTTAATTTTCAAAGATCTTTATTGAAACTTAACATATATACATAATAGCCCAAATTCCCAATGATTCCCTCACATAAAATATCTAAATTACAACAGCTGCATAATTATACACAATTCTAAAACCCAACACCACCCCTCCTACTTCCCTCCACAGCAATTCAACTTCTTTATATTTCTTTCTACCTTGCCCCCCCTGCATTCTATAATACATTATTTTTGTTAAATTCTGATTTTTCCTTCCTTCTTTATTGGTTTTGTTATTGCTTACATTTTTTTCTAAGCCTATTAACATGCCATTTTTAGAACAATATTTTTTACATATAATCTTCAAAATACTTCCACTCCATTCTTAACTTTTGATTTGATTGATATCTTATAATTGAAGTTAATTTTGCCAATTCTATATACTCAATTTACAAATTCACTTTTCTCAAAGGGCTCACCAGTGATTTTCTTTTCCCTAAAAAAAAGTTTAGGGATACTCTCATTTTCCTACTCATATTGAAATACTGCCCCTCAATGAGGCCAAACTTAAGATTCACAAAATGTTTAGAGGTATGCATACCCCAGAAAAATTTATATATATATATATATGTGTGTGTGTGTGTGTGTGTGTACACACACACACACACACACACACACAAACATATATATATATATATATAGTTTGCTTCTGCCACACTCTGGATTCTAAGCAGCCCTGTTTTCACTTCATTTCCATCACCACTCACCACCGGAGTTTGCTATTAGAAGAAGTTGCGTCAAAAGGGAAAACATGCAAACAGGCTTCTACCCATCTGCTCAGTCGGAAATAAAACCGGTTCCCTCCTTCCTGCCTGCCCTGCCATTTTACATAGTGCATTCCAAGTATGTCAGGCTCTTCACAATCACACACACTCGTTGTTTGTTTGTTTGTTTGTTGTTTTGTATAACGCCCTATAGCCATAGGTCTCAGGGCGTTTCACAACACAAAGTTACAATATAAAAGCACAAAATACAGAATAAAAATAATCAAAACAATCAACAATACACAGGTATACAAACTAGTAAAAAGCTAGTAAATACAGTGGTACCTCGGGTTACATATGATCCAGGTTACAGACTCCGCTAACCCAGAAATAATACCTTGGGTTAAGAACTTTGCTTCAGGATAGGAACAGAAATCGTGCTCCGGCGGCGCAGCAGCAGTAGGCGGCCCCATTAGCTAAAGTGGTGCTTCAGGTTAAGAACAGTTTCAGGTTAAGAACGGACCTCTGGAACGAATTGCCGTATTTTTTGCTCTATAAGATGCACCAGACCACAAGACGCACCTAGTTTTTGGATGAGGAAAACAAGAGAAAAAATATTCTGAATCTCAGAAGCCAGAACAGCAAGAGGGATCGCTGCGCAGTGAAAGCATATATCCCTCTTGCTGTTCTGGCTTCTGGGATAGCTGCGCAGCCTGCATTCACTCCATAAGACACACACACATTTCCCCTTACTTTTTAGGAGGGAAAAGTGAGTCTTATAGAGCAAAAAATACGGTAAGTACTTAGCCTGAGGTACCACTGTAAGTGAATCAAGATTATTATTAATTTTTTTTATACTGCTGACCAGGAATACTCTCCGATATCCGACATTTCACTACCCCATTTGCAGCTGGCAAAATAAAAATTGGGGATGAACATTTTGGTGAATGGGAGATTTAGGAAAAAATGTGGACTTTGGTTTTAATGGTGCTTCTCTGTATGACTGGTGGTCACTATTTTTTATTTCCCACAAAGCCTACAGGAATGATACCAGACCACCACCAACTGCACAGAAGAGCATGGTCCTCAATGTTGAGGGGTTGGGGAACTCTTTCTCTCTAAATTTTGAGCCACAGATTTATTTTTGGGCTCAGCGACAGTGTGTTCAGGGCTCAGGTCCGGCATTTTGGGGGCTCTTGGGCAAGCCATTGGACCCCATTAATCTGGAAGACATGGAGCTTGTATCCTCTCACATTACCTCTGGCTTCCTAAGCTGCTCTGAGAAAGATCAGAACAGTGGTGCTCTTAGAGCAATATATTCTTCAGGACAGAACCAGTCCTACCATTAGGCAAAGTGAGGAGGCAGTGGATACTGGCAGGCAAAGTGCTGGAGTGCGAAAACCCATAAGCTAGTCAGTTTCCCCTTGGATGCAGTGGAAGATGCTGTCCTGTCACCTCCAGAGAAATGAGATTCAACAACCAATCTCGTCAGCTTCTGTATGTGCAGTAAGTCAGTCAGTCAGTCAGTCAAGTTTATTGCTTATAGCCAAAGGCTGCTGCAATGTATACAATGTCATTCAATAAAATATATACTAGTTTGATACACAAACTTAAAACATTTACATTGTCAAAACATGACCTAATCTGCACAAAGCTATAGAAACTCAATATACAAATTGAAACATTAGACAATAACATTCATAAGCTAAAATCATCGTAAAGGTAAAGGGACCCCTAACCATTAGGTCCAGTCGTGGCCGACTCTGGGGTTGCAGCGCTCATCTCGCTTTATTGGCCGAGGGAGCTGGCGTACAGCTTCTGGGTTATGTGGCCAGCATGACTAAGTCGCTTCTGGCGAACCAGAGCAGCGCATGGAAACGCCATTTATCTTCCCGCCGGAGCGG